ATTTCTGTTGAAATTAAATATTTACTACTATCACTTAAACAATATTAGTGGGTACTTAATGAAGATGCCAGCCCATTTTTTTTTGTTAAGAGTGGTATACAAAAAAATAATCTCATCTACCTCTTTAATGGGGACGGGGAGTCTGACTGTCTTGAGTACTGTTGAACTACAAGAAGTGACAAGAAAATGATGGTCTCTGGACAAGGTAGGGGAAGACATATATCCGAAACCGAGAGGGAGAGAGAAGGAAGGGGACAAAAAGCCAGCACAAGATATGAAACAAGATAACCATTAACTGGATCAAAGTCTGTTTGGGAGGAAGAAGAGGGGGAGGGTGCGGAAGGGGGGTACCCGAGGTAGGAATGTGGTCCTGACCCTCTGTCCCTATTAGCTCGACCCTATATTACATATAAACTGTAACCCAACAGTTGCAAGTACTCTAAATGCAATTTTACCAGACAGTAATAAAGAAATAAATTAGAACTACTAACATTAACTTATTGCTGTAAGGAAAAACAGTATTGCAAAAGAAAAGAAAAACTATATAAAAATGGTGGAGCATGAGGACCTTTCATCTGAATAAAATGATGAAAGAGAGAGAGAAAGAGGTCCCCAGTATAGGGTTTGGAAATATATAGGCTGCTTCAGCTTTAAAAACGGCAGACTGAGCAGTGAGAAGTGAGAACCCATACCTCCCCTTCTTGTCTCTGATTAGCTTTGATGTTAACTCATTTGATTTCCTCGTATAAATTCTCGGTAAACGGAATAACTACAATTACATACATCAAGTGCGGGTAGCTGAAGAGATTGAGAAGAACCTGTTTTTTTTCGATCAATGCATTGTACTCTTTACACCTTTTAGAGGCAGCGAAAAAGAAAAGAGGGTTTAAAGGAACGATACTTTGCTTTGTTTGCTTTTGCAGCTGTTTCCTTCATTTTTTTTTTTTTAGTTAGTGATCGATCCTCCCTCAGATTTCCTGCCTGCATTGCCATCTGTTAAATAATGTGGCTGAATCTAAATCCACGGTGCCATTTTGATTTCTGCACTTCTCTGAATTACGTGCATAATTCAGAAAAAAAAATCGTTGTACTAAAACAAATATATAAACAAACAATTAGGCCCATGGTCTCATCATGAGGGGAAAGATTAAATCCAATAATGTTTGTTTTAATTAAAAAATAAATGCACTAGTATTTATGGAGCATATATATCACTCACAATGATTATAATATAATTAACTAATCATAATTTAAAATTTTGTAAGGATCATCAAAATTTTATATAGAATTCACATTTATAAATTATGAATCCATACATAATTTTTTTGTTTTGATTGAATAATTATAATATTATAATAAAAAAATCGTAGAGGAAATGTTTAACTATGTCTATAAATTGAACTGTATTAATTGAAAATCTAACAGTTCATCAAGACATTCACTAAAAGATATTAACCTACTTATTAACCATTATATGTTGGATTTGCATTTATTTTGTTTCTAGCATTTTTCTTTTGTTTCTAAAACTACCTTAAAAACTTCAAAAGCATTCACAAATATTTTTTAATTAATAATGACCCTCTGATGCTATTCAAAATTCATGTCTTTTTTTAGATTTTTTTAAGCCTTACACATTCAAATAATTTGTACATTCCAACCCCACACCATCAAAACTAGATGGTTGGAGTTATAAATTTACTAATACTATATATTATACCATATACATCTGAACCAATATCACTTATATTACCCAGAAATCATTGAATTTGCATTTATGAAAATATAAATACAGTTACTCTAATAAAAATGATAGTTGTCCAAAATGGTCTGGACCAGTGGGGCTACGTACTGATTTTTGGGACACTAATTGCAATTGATAAATTTGGCATGCAAATTCCCAAGTCAATAAGTGGGGCAGGCCTTATTAGCTGTTTCATGTAGCAAATTAATTGGTAGTAAGTGAAGAGGTCTAATTTGAATATAAAATTATTTATTATATGTGAGATAATACAATTTTAATAAACTTACATAACGTGTGGGTGGAAATGAAAAAAATCTACACGTAACAGATTTAAAATGGATAACAAAAAAAATTTCTTGACTCTGATATCATGTTAGTATCTAACTTAAAATTAATTAGTAGTAAGTGGAGGAGCCCAACTTGAATATAAAATTATATGATATTAAATATTTATTAGATGTGAGATAATATCATTTTAACACATATGTTAAATCTTTGATCTTATACGAATTTTTCGAAATACATAAAATTATGATAGTGTTATTTGATCCGACAATCAAGTTATCCAATCATTCACAAACATTATTGATACAATAAATTACAATGTCTAAGATATTCATTCATTTTCATAGAATTAACCTTAAACTTGTCGGTATAAGTATTACCGATGTTGGGGTTGATACACATGCTTAATGTATTAAATATTAACCTATTTTTTTATCGCCAAAATCCATCAAAGGCAAGAAAAAAAATATGGTTTTGATGGAGGTTTCTGTCCAACGCATATAGTGGAAGATCTAGTTGGACCACAAAAATCAATAGCCACATCCACCTGCTGATGACTAGTTATGTTTGCAGAAAGCAAAATTAATATTATGTGTATGGTTAAAGATTAAAGCCTAATTCATTGCAAAATCATCTAACACAACCTTCAATCCTTTAGTGCAACAATATTTGAAGTTTCCATGGTAACCTAAGCCTTTTGAAACTACAATACTTAAAGCAACACTTTAAAATTATAGTACTAAAGAATTTTTAAAATCAGTCTTCTAGCTGTTCAATCTAAATATCCCTGGACTTGCAAAAAAAAAAAAGATTAACAAGGTGTAAATGAACAATACGTAAAACAAACAATTCATAAATATATTTGGTTTATAATAAACAATCATAATAATATTTAGGGTTTGTTAATTAAACAAATATATTACAAATACAACAAAATTTATTTATATTAAATTCATTTACACTTAAAAATATAAAACAAATAAAAAACTCAAATTTTATTTATTTATTAAATTTAATAAATAATCATAAATAATATTTCTTAATTCATTAATCAAATAAATACATTATTAACATAACAAAATTCATGTACATACGTTTCATTTAAACCCTTAGTTGAAGAGTTGAAAAGATCTGTTAGGTCGCCAGTTTCCTTAAATTCCAAAGGTCCTCATTTACTAGACATTATGGGGAATGAATACTTTGTCGCATAACTACCCACAATTTTTTACATTGATAGATAGGCCCGTTTATTTCTGTTAAAAATAAAAAATTAAGTAAAAAAGGCTAAATCGAGGGGAAATTAGGTGCATAAATCCTTTTTTTTTTTTTTTCTAGAATCAATAGTATTTCATTACTTTGTAATAACAGCCAATATTACAACACCCATCAGAATACAAAAGAACATCCAGCTCATTAACTTACTACTCTAATTACTTATCCAATATTAAAACCACGTTAATTTTCTTATTTACTTGCCCTGGTCATCAGGCAAACATACAGTAATTATTAATTAATTGACTCATAATTCATGTACATGTATTAATATTAATCACTCCTAGCTATAAAGTATCATCACTTCATTTAATTATTATTTTTTTAACTAAAACGTTCTGGGTCATCATTAATTCTTAAAATTTTGCATTTTATGAACCAATGAAAATGGTGTGTTTATAGATAAAATTAAATTAGATATGCTTTGGGTTTGTTTTAATTAATTATTTTAGGCTTTTGGTATTTGCATTTACGGTCCACTGTTTTAATTTTAGAGGGTACTTGCATTTATCCTCACTCTATGATTTGAGCTTTTGTAATAATTGAGATATTATTATAGTACTCAACAAAATTTAATATTTAGCCTTTCACAAATTAAAGTAGTCATATTAGCAAGTTGCAATATGGTACACATTTTTTTTTTTTTTGGTTTTCAATTCAAATCCTTAAATTAGGTTGTCCTCTTATTTGGAGACAGTTCAAAACATCAAAGGCTTACTATGTACATGCAAGTGAGATATATATATATATATATATATATAGTTGACATAAATTAAAAAAAAACAATTGGTTATTTGATATGGTAGGATTAATAATGTATGAATAAGAATATATTATTAGTTCATATAATTATTCTTAAAAAATAATATTCAATAGTCATGAATATAAATTTTAGCACTTTTAACCCATATCTTTTTCCATATTCTGATGCTATAGGCTCCCTTTTTCATATATGATTCACTGTGAAATTAAAGAAACCAAAAAGTAATATGGGGAGTGGGGTTTGAAGTTGAAAGCTTGAAAAAGGGTTGATGAACTTGAACTGCACTAATGAGGGGGTGTGGCTTGTTGTATGATAATAGAGGAATCTTTTTTTTTTTTTTGGGGGGGGGGGGGGTTTGCCGACTAGTTGGAGGATGAGAGGGAGGGAGAGAGAGAGAGAGAGAGAGAGAGGAGGAGGAGGAAAAGCCAGGTCGGTCTGCTTCAATGGCCTCAACTTTTCCTCCTTTCGCAGGATCAGCAACAGCACACAATCAATGACACCAAAGTCAAAACTCGAAACCTAACCATAACATGCTCTCTCTCTCTCTCAAACTGGCTTGGCCTAAAATCCCCCCCCCCCCCCCCCAACCAATAAAAAAAAAAGAGTTTGCAGGTAAATTTTTAACAGTTCAAAGCTGAGTGAGAGTTAAAAGTCCAACTGGCCATTTGGGTCGAAGATAATAGAGATAAGCCATAAATGATGAAAGGACGAGCGCACATGAGTGGAACCAGATCATTCATAGGCCATTACGTAGGAATATTTACCTTACTCTTCGTCTTTCTTTCTCTTTAAGAACCAAAAAAGAAAAGAAAAGAAAATCGACGCCTCAACTTTGGCAGAGAAAGAAACCTCGAGAGGGAGGCAGAAAAAACTGGGGTTAAAGCCTAATTGCTCATCCCACTTCTCTCTTCTTCTCTCTCTCTCTCTCTCTCTTTTTGCTTTCTCTTTAAGCCAAATGCTAGGTCAATTAGACGAGAAACAACTTTTCCGGTTGATTCCTCTATGGCCTTAATTTGTCTTGTTTAGGGTTTTCGGTGTGTTTTGTTTTTTTTTTTCAAAGAAGAAGGCACCGACCTGATCGTTCTTTGTACTGAGACCTGTCTTTTGCTTCCCTTGGCCCTCAAAGATCTAGAAGAAAGAAAATCGTACTTCCAAGAAACCAGTATTTGCAGGTCAGGTCTTGTTTTGGTTTTATTTTTCCTTAGAAACAAAAAAGTCTTAGCAGCTAAATATCTCGACCTACTTTTTTTCTTTTTTTTTTTTCTTTCCTTTTCCCCCCATTTTGCCATCACTCTTATGGTTGGATTTTCATCTAAATCATATCATCTAGTGTGATAAAGAAGATAAAATTTGGAGGGGGTCATCATACCATCATAATGAACTTTGTGCAAGAAGAAAAAGGGTATTGCAATAATGAAGATCAGGAAGACGATGAGGAAGTCATAAGAGAAATTACGAGCAATTTCCCATGTTCCTCTTACTCTTCTTCTGCTCCTTCTAAGTACAAAGATATTGTTCCTGAGCAACATCAAAACTTGTGGCTGGGAACCTTGGATTCTCGAGAAGATTACAAAACCCAAGAGTCTGCTATCAATTTTGACAAGAAACTAGAGCTGATGGACTTGTCACTTGGCAACAATAATGAAGAATCAAATATTGGAAGCTGTAGAGCTGGCGGTGATAGTAGTAGGTATATAGAGAGAGAACACATGTTTGATAAAGTTGTCACACCAAGCGATGTAGGCAAGCTCAACCGCCTTGTTATACCCAAGCAACATGCTGAGAAGTACTTCCCTCTTGACTCGTCATCAAATGAAAAAGGGCTGTTGCTGAATTTTGAAGATCAGAACGGCAAGTCGTGGCGGTTCCGGTACTCCTATTGGAATAGCAGCCAGAGTTATGTGATGACCAAAGGGTGGAGTCGTTTTGTCAAGGAAAAAAAGCTTGATGCAGGTGATATCGTGTCATTTCAACGGGGTGTTGGGGAGTCAGGAAAAGACCGGTTATACATTGGCTGTAGGCGCAGGCCGAATGCACCAGATCCAACATCGATTGCACATATTCAGCTCCAAAATCAGTTCAACTTTCCTCAGTCAGTCCGGTGGGGTAGACTCTACTCGCTGCCTCAATCCATGTGCGAGTCACGGAACTATGAGCCTTTGCATAGGTTGAATTACAGTATTTATCCTTATAATCATCACCATCAACAACAACTACTACAGCAAGAGCAACAACAACAGCTACAGATGCAGCATCAGGCAATTACTTATGGCAATATGGCGCAGTATTATCTAAGGTCATCATCTGGGTCACATCACCATCATCAAATTGTGTCAGTGCAAGGAGGAGAAGAGCCAATGGTGATTGATTCAGTGCCAGTTGTTCAGGGTCATAAAACTGCTGTTAAAAGGCTAAGGTTGTTTGGTGTTAACATGGAGTGTCCTACACAAGATGAATCTTCCTCTACTTTTCCTCATGGCACAATAGAATCAGATGATTCTCCTCATTTCTCTTACTCTTCTCTCCAACCAAAATTGTCCGATAATAATAATAAAACCCCACTTTCCGGAATGCAAGCTGATTATTCAATGAAAGGAAAATCTTCCTTGTCCATTGATTGAGATCTCTGATGAAGAGGAAAATACAGTGAAGGATTGCATTTTCTCTCTTTGTTGCCTTATCATCAAAATTTCGACAGCCTCTGGATTTAGGAAAAAGGTTTGAAAGACGTTGGAGATAAGTTTTAGCATTCCGAGTTTTTTTTTTTTTTTTTTTTTACTTTATTTATTTCTTTAAATATTGTTTTAGTTAGTTAAGGTTTGGGATCTGTGAAGAGCTAAATATGAAAGAAGGTGAAAATTGTGTATAATACATATACAAATATATCATAAGCGTATTCCCAACTTGTTTATTAAATAATATTTTTCCATTACTAGGCCCTGCCCTTTCCAAACTGAATCTGTGGCTTGATTGTATTCCCCAGTTTGTTTCCCCTCTTCTATATATAGTTATCTTATCATCTGTAATTCTCTCTCCCCTTCCCCTCCCTCCTTCCTCCCTGACTGACAGAGTTTAATTGTGCTGTTATGCATGTGTTGGTAATGGATATTTATTTTTAACTTAATAAAACCAAAACAAATAACATATGTGCTTGACACTTAGCTCAACATTATTCCACATGTGACATTCTTTTTTTTGTTTTAGTTTTTAATTTTAAATACATTTTGTTATCTTTCATAGTTTCTTTAGAGTTACGATTGTTTTAATTTGTTTTACAATTTGGGAGAAAACAAGAGATAGAAAAGGTTTATTTTGGCAAACAAATATTAAAAAACCATATATAAGTTGTATAACTAAACAACAAAAGCTAACAGCATTTAAATAATTATAATTATATATTTAATTATTTTTTATTATTTTATTGATTTGGTATAGAAAATTGTTTGAGTAGGATTATCGTTTGTATAATTTAGAGGTTCTTTTTTTCTTAATAATTATTTTTTCAATAAAAACTATATTGTTTATAAAATTCAATCAAGCTGCAGGTTTGCAGGTAATGCATGCACAGAAAAGTTGCAGCACTGTAAAAAGGTATCATATGTATTCTTATTTTTAATTTGAAAATTTCTTACATATATATCATCACTTTTCATTTGTTACCGGTTAGAGTTTCCTTACTACTTCTTGGTAATTTGTGTCTTCTCTTTACAGCCATGATCTTGTCTGAACTGCTAACACAAAAACAAAGTCTCTTGTACAAAAGAGGGTTCGGATTTTTTTTTTTTTTTAAATTTATACATTTGCACCAAATATTCGCACCATTTACATAGGTTCTTATTGGTCAAATTTCCATTTTTGCTATAATATTTAGATTTCGCAGAAATGAGGGACGAGAAGACGCTGATGTGCAACATCAGGTAGTGCAAGTATGCTAGGGAAAATTAATAAACGTATAGCAGTAATTTGACATCAAATATAGCTTCTCAAATGACATGAAATGGGTTAAAATGATGTTTGATCCAACTAATAAACACGTTTAGGATGGTTATATCAGCAATTTATAAGCATTCAAATACACTATTATCACTTGAAGAAGATCTGATTTTCTTGGTATGCATGCTAATTGGTAATTGGTGGTTCAAAATATTTATTGTAACATTCCCAATCAATTATTTTCACTTCAGTTTACTGAGTGATACTGCTTTGAAATTGACTAAAATAGTAGTAAAGCATTAAAATCCAGTGAATTCACTCTTGCTCTTCCTGGTTAGTTGAATTGCGTTCATCAATAAATACATATAACACCTTCTGTCATCTATGTCATGCAGTCAATATAAAAGAAATGCATTTCCACTTTGATGTGTATATATAATATATTTATGTAAATATATATATTGCTTTCTCTAGCTATGTAAAGGGCATATCTGTGCGTGATACTACATATATAATATATATATATATATATATATCTGGTGGTCACTGCTATATTAGAAGTACGATTTTGCCTTAGCCTTAATGGGTAGTTTTACAGGTTTTTGAAGTATCTATGCAGCAAATGCATATCTTTCATGGCATTTGATATAATTTTGGCCAATTTCTGTATATGTGATGTTTTTTAGATGCATGACTCATACTAGCCATAATTTTTTTTGGCCAATTCATGCTAGCCATAATTAGTTACTGCATAATTCTACATATCTGGGGATTAGGACATCTGCATCTAATAAGAAAGCTGTATAAAATTGGCCTTGTTGACAGTGTAGATATAAAATGCTGGAAATTTATATAAATTTTATCTGATACTACTCCTTAGATGTAAGACAACTAGGAGAGAAAAAATTAAAGCTTTTGGATTGGCTTATTTATATATGCCGATGATCATTTAAAATGTAAGAAACCAAAAATAACAGAAACAAAATACTCTGATGATATACTTTCTTTGCATTTTCATTGTTGCATATGGTTTTCTACTTATGGAAGCATAAATTTCTGAATTGCGCAATGATAAAATATGGAGTATATATATATATATAATTGTGATCATCCATTTTTGTGTGTGGTCATGCAGTGCAATATTTTATTAAAATAAATACTACTATAATGTACTATTTTTCATAGTAACTGAATGGTACAACTGCCATTCAACATACGAACATTGATATAAAATTTCATTTAAAGGAAATTAAAGCCTGCAGTGTTCTAATATAGTTAATTTGTTTATAGTTATTGTTTCATTAGTTCGAGATATTGAAGAAAAGATGTAAAATACCATGCATATATATATATATATATATATATATATATTAAAGGTGGCAGTATTTAGGATCTATGCACATGCAAACACATATAGATACATGTCTATTTTTCTAACAATCATATAGCCATCAGTTTAGATTAAATTAACATAGAAAGCAAACAAATTGCTTCCATTTGATTAGGCAAAGTTAACCAAATATTAATGAACTTAAAATAGTATTGTTTTGTAAACTCATCCACTCTTCCTAACATCGCAGCAGTCTCAAACTATATATACATCTGTACACGAGAGTTGAGACACAGCTGCACTACATCAAGCAAAAGAATAGAAGTTGGAGATGTTTGCTTGACCGAAAGAGCCTCAATTTCTCTAAGCTGATGGCTAATTAGATATTTATAAAACAGTTGCATTACATCAGGACTTGCCTGATATAGATTATAAGTTAACATAAAAAGAGTTTAACAGAAACAAATTTCAATATTTCCATCCCTTCATTCTGTGTTTGAACTTTGAAGATTCCATTTTCATTACTTCTAAATCTAAAAAAAGCAAATTTCAGTCTGTTAGATAGGAAATCAGATATAACTAGTTTTTAACGGCAATTTTTTTATAACTTCTAAACCATATAAGAGTTATTCTTGGCCAAGAGAGAGAGAGAGGGGTAAAGAAGCTCAAAAAGGAAAGATAAACAAATATGAAGTGAAAAAAGTTATAGATAAGCATCAAGGAGACCAATAATAATATTTCAGAAACAAAGCAAATCAATTTACGGATACCCATTTTGTTCCTAACATATACAATGTCCCTTTCATGTTTCCATGATGCTTTAGTAACAAGGGAAAGTTGGGGTAAAGTATAGTCTAGTACTAATGAAGATTAAAGCCACAGTTGTTGGAAAGATTTTATATATAAAGGTTAAAACATAGGGTACTGTTATTATATTTAATTTTAATAATAAATATGACAGCAAGATGGGTGGAATTATTGTTAAAAAGATTCATTATAATTTCAATCACAAGATTCCTAGCAAGCGACGCTCAAAAGGAAAGAAAGAAAAAAAAGGTCCTTGAAATTGAAGTTCCCCACGCCCTATAAAGAGAGTTACAAATAGGTTAGGTTTGATAGGCATAATAATTGATGATAAGAAAGAAACAACATGTGCGAGGAGCGAAGATGATGAAGAGAAAGAATATCAGAGCCATGGGAAAAAAAAAAAGAAAAAAAAGATCGGTGGCTTCTTTCATTTCTGATTTCACTGCTAAGTTTTTCCTCCTATTTTCTTTTCTTTTCGGCAGCTTAAACCTTTTTTATCCACTTTATTTTGAGGTTGTTGCAGGAGGCCTGAAATGTCGACCAAACTCTCTTTTGGGTGTTGAACTTGAATATATGGGACCATATAGGCTAAAAATTGTTGTTTATGTGCATTAAATGACATATCTAAGTTTGATAATAATATCTACCTTGATTTCTCATTAATTAGAAGAAGAAAACAAATATGAGTTGGAGGAAGTGAGTGAGTTTGATGGGATTCTCAAGAGCTAATTTGATGTCTCATCTCTTCTAGCTAGCCTCCCTTAATTTTACACCCACTAAATGGGTATTTAGAAAAAGAATAGTACTACTACTACTACTAGTTTTAATTTTTAATCTAGAGGCTATTCCAGTTCCATTGCTCTATACATATCTGTAAGATGTGTAACCTACTATATATAAGCTTGTTCATTTAAAGAGAAATCTGCCTGTTCTGGATAGAGGAAATATCACAGAGTTCAATGTATACTTTTAGCCGGTAATATATATGTTCAATTTGTTAAATGAAATCGTTATGTCACACTTTAGAAAAACTCAGTTTCATCCATTCTTAAAATTCAAAAAAGACTGTTAGTACCTTCCTCTTGTGCATTAAAAAGTGTAATTTTTTACTATTAATCAGATCTTTCGACAATGAATAGAAAAATGGGGGAAAAAACATAATGGGTCAGATCCAAAACATTGTTCTTCGTAGCATATGTTTGAAAAATGGAAGTGGAGGAAATAAAAAGCTCAATAAGTTTGAAAAATGAAAGTGATTTTGATGTTTTATTTCGACCATAAAATTTCATGGAAAATCTAACCCTAAAATATAAAAAACCATACGACGGGTATGAGAATTTGTTTGCAAGTAAAATGGATAGCCCATTGTTCGGCCACAAAAACTAGATAGCCATGACGAATGTAAGCATGGCCCAAAGCATTGGGCTTTCCCTAGATAAATTCATGACCCAAACAAAATAATGGGTCAGATCAGGAGCCTGTTCAAACCGATTATTCCCAAACGGAACAAATTTCAGTTCCCATCTCTCTGATTCGTATTCGCCTCTGCAAATTTGCAGTTGAAATCCAGCCTTTTCACCGTCAAGTCTATTGTAGCGAAAAAACCCATAAAAAAAAGTTTAGCTTTCTTTCTTGTTCTGGTTAATGGAATACCGGTGTGTCCAGTGCGGGTTTCTGGTCAAAAGCCTATTCGTTCAATACTCTCCGGGAAACATTCGATTGATGAAATGCGTAAGCTTTACTTTTGTTTTTTATTTGTAAAAATCACATTTTTTTCCTATTTCTTATTAACTTATTGATTTTTTTTTTACAGGAGAATTGTAAAGCAGTTGCTGATGAGTATATTGAATGTGAGCTCATGGTAATAGCTCAAGAGAAAATATTTGGGCATTTATTCTCAAATACTCTATTTTTTTGTTAGTTATTACTTTTAAAAAAATTGGGTAATGATTTTTTTGTAAAAAAATTGGTGTAGATTGTTTTGATTGATTTAATCTTGCACAAGCCGAAAGCATACAGGCATCTAATTTACAATGTGCTCAGCCAACAAAGTGTCCATTTTCAGGTACAATTGAATTGTTTCGTTTTAGACTGCTACTCAGTTTACATTCTTTTGGCTATTTGATTAGTTACTAAAACAGAATATTTGGTCTTTATTTAATTATTGATAGTCATGGTTAAATGCTGGCTCTTACGATGAATTGGGTATTTTGAAACTTTGCAGGGTCTATTGTGGAAGTCATTATTTGGTTTTCTTGTTATGGATGCTTGTATCCATATTGGAGAAAATTTTGCTTAATAGATATCGTTTAACTAAATTTAACACCGTTCAATAATTCTTCGAATTCTGTATAATAAATTGGGTGCCTTAACCATCTAAGACAGAAGTTTGTTTGTCAAAAGACCTGAGGAAGAATGGGGCATGTCCATGAGCATTTTTTCATTTTTTTGGATATATCGAAAGGTTTGTTTATCTTATGCACGTGCGGGTAAATTTCAGATTCTAGATTTCTGATTTGTTTGGTTTGTATATAGTTTCTGAACATCTTTGCTAATGCCAATTATAGATGTTGGTGGACGTAATTCTTGGAAACTTTTTGTTTCTATGTTCTTTTCTTCTTGCAATCAGGAACGTGCTGAAGACATCAGCTCGATTCACTAGGTTTGTATTTGCATTTTTCTTAGTATGCTACTTACGTTAGAGGTATCTCTGCCAGTGAACTTTGATAATGTGGTTTATTTAATTGTTGGTTATAGGGTTACTGATAGGTACTCATTTTAGTATTTATTGGTAGGGTAGGCAGTAGACATGCCCATGAAATATGAGTGTAAAAGAATTGATGAGGGTAAGGTCTGCAAGATGGCAATAGAAAAAGAAGTTGTGGAAAGGAGAGGGGAGGATAGGGGATAGCTTGAAAAAATTTTCAATTATGGAAATTTCCGAATTGAGAATTTAGAGGTAGCACTAGTGAAAAGATTAGAGACATTTGTCTACAATGTAGTTGTATGTGATCTTTTAGGTGGTGTGAAAAAGTTGATGAGGCATTAGAAAAATAAGGATTTGTTAAAAACTAATTATAGTATTACTGGATTAGCTATTTATGGATTTTTTGTCTGGTATATTTCTCTGTTTATCATAGCAAATAATGAACCCATTGTTTCTAAACTTTACAGGTTCAGAGATCTGTTGCTTGCTGTTCTAATTTCAAGTTACTTCAAGATTTTTCTCGCTGCCACGATGGTTTGCTTTCTATATGCTTCTTGGCCTGTTGACTAGACAAAGATCTTATTTGTAGAAACATATTGCTGGCTTCTTCATTTTCCCTTGATCTTTTCACCTCTATCTATATACTTGTAATCAAAGATCATCCATCTGACTCCAGTTTTACATTTTACAGGTCTGGGAATTTCCACCTTCAGTGATTTACATCATTGATTTATTTGTTTTATCATCTAATACAGTGGCATTAAAAGGTCAGATAATCAATACTTTACAGTTTTCCACATGACAAATAATTGACATTTGTGCTTATGCAGTCTTTATAGCTATGATTGTTGTTTCCCTACTACTGTATGCCAACTGCATGAGCCTTGAAATGTTGTAAATTATGATTTCTGCTTGCTTTTGAATGTGATGGTTTTTTAATAATCAAGGTTAGTAGGGGCAAATGAAAATGCCTTGGTGGAACTTGGTTAGAAACTCACCCAAGTGGGAGAGAGGGGGGGGAGGAATGAGATTGAGGATTCCATCCATGCAAAAATTCCTGTTTGTGTTTAATTGATATGATTTTTTTTGGCACTTTGATATGTAAGATCTCAAATGTTTTCCCGAATTAGTTAATTTTCTGCTTAAACTTTAACAATGTGGACACATAAAAAATAGTTGAATTGTGTACTTCAGCTCTGTTGTCAGGAACTGATAAACTGTTTCTTTATGAACTAGTGATAACGGAGTCCACTGTGAATCGATGTGTAGGGGCCTGCTTGATTGCGCATGCTGTAAAATTTTGTACAACACAGGTTTTTTAGTTAAGATCATTAAGATATTCTGTCATTTTTGTTTTGAATGTCCGTACTCTATTCAAACTAAAAATAGTTTTTTTGGTTCTTCCTTTTTCCTCTAATCTTGTATTCTTTCATTATCTAGCTTTATTGGTGCTTGATGGATGTGTGGATGTAAACATCGAGTGCTCAAATTCCTGGTCTAGAGATTGATACTCTTTCACCATTACTTGGACCTAAAAATCAAAGATCCTTGGTATAGCAAGCTCACAACAATATTACTCCATCTGTTTTCATGCCCACACTTTTATATAAAATAGGTAAATCCATATTCTCATTTACATACACTGATTGACTTCAGCACTAAGCTTTCTTTGATCTCTCTCCAATTCTCCTGTTAATTGTATGTAACATTTCCATCGTATTCCAAGGCTCCTTTATTATAAGAATCAGCTTGTGCTTGTTCTGTATTAAAACAGTATTTCTTTTCCAGAGCTGGAGTCGCTTCAATATCTTCCTTACTGGTTAACCCCTCAGATTCTATGCGTGGCCTTTTCCTAGTTGACCCCATTCGAAATGGATCATTCGGTGACTCCACTATGCTCATGGAGAAGTTGAAGCCATCATTCTTATCTGCTAAGTTCTGTTGTTTGCTTCGTAGGACTTCAGGGTAAGCCTCAACTTCATCAGTTGGGAACAAAATTGAATTCCAAAACTCATCATCCTGTTCATTGGTGCTAAACTGATGATTTTGATCCCCATCAGAGTTTTTAGGTGCTTCTGGCAGGGGTTCTACTAATTCAGCCACGAATATCCCTTTCCGTAAAAGCTCATCAAACTCTGGACATTCCTGAATCATAAATAAAGACAGATTAGTTATTGATCTATTCATCGTCACGTGCATGAATAATTTAACTGAAAAGTTTCTCAAAGAGGCTTACCATTGGAATGGAATCCACTTTCATGTGATTTTCTAAAGCCAAGCTAGAGCCCTCGATCTCAGCAAATAATCTGCTTCCTTCTTTTGAGTAGGTCTGATCATTGGCAGTGAGAATCGAACTCCACGAGGAATTATCATATTCACTGGTCCTAACTTCATCTAGGGTCCCAACACACTCATTAGGTGCTTTTGGCTTTTGGTTTATTAGCTCACAAAAGCCTTCCTGGTGCTGAATCATAGACAAATAAAAATTGGTTTTAGATGCGATTATCATCATCCACATGGATAAATGATTAGAAAAAAAAATTCCTCCTAGCTTACTTTTGGAATATCATTATCAGCAACATGTATTTGTAAGTTATAGGTAGAGGATAGCTTATTGCCTTCATTCTCATCAACAAAGTAAGGGTGTTTGCTGTAGATTTCATCATTATCAATTAGAAGTGAACCAACAAATTCATCATCATCCTGTTCATTGGTGGTAGATTGAGACTGAATTCCACTATATTCAGTAAATGCTTCCGACTCTGTTAATACCCCATTAGAGTTTAACTGGTCCTGAATCATACACAAATAAGCCATAATTTTTTATATGTTCATCATTGTTAACATAGAGAAATTAAGGCTTCTAACCTTTGGAATTGCGTTGTTTGTACAGTGGTTTTCTAAGCTAGAAGGCAAAGGGTGACTTGATTGGCCTTCGTCACCTCTTGAAACATCTACCTTCCCATATTTTTTCTTCAGTTTACATAGAGCTAAACTTTTCTACACAAAATTAAATGAAAAAAAAATAGTGTGACACCCACGAAAAATTTTGACATTATCGTAGTAATAATACAGGTAAAAGAAAAACAACACAATAGTGTATGTTGGCAAACTTTCACCAAATAAAACAGAATTACATCAACTGCATTTATCTACGTTTCTTCATCACATTTATAATTAATTTATAAAAAAAAAAATGAACAGTTTAATAATCAACTTTCAAAAACAAACGAACAGGGTCACCATGCCAAGTAATTTAAGAAAAATTCCAACAAAAAACTCCTTGAAAACCATGGTGCTGCATCATTGATGTAGCATACAAACAAATATCACTGCCGATTAATTTGCTGTGACAAAAGAGACCAAAAAAATAGATAACAGAGTAAAAAAGAAGTAATCTGATTCATGGCTTGGCAGATAGCTTATAGAACATACTTGGTTAGGGAGACTAAGAGTTAACTCATGCATGACCCAGGGGGTTCTATTTTCATTTTTCTTTTTATCACTGACACGACCTTGGTAGAATACCAAAGTATGCCTGCTTCCGATGATCTCCTTTCCATCGTATGTTATAACTGTCTCATGAGGTTTCCCCGTTGGTTTCCAGTATCCTCTCTTGGTAACCCTGTTTTTTCGTTTACTATTGCGGTACTTGTATCTTGGTGAGCTGAAGAAATACCAAACATTGTCACCTGACCCTAACTCTGACCTCCCTGCAAGACGCAAAAACGAAGAGAGAAAAAAGAAAAAAAAAAATTACAAGTGGGCATCTGAAACTGCAACAACATGCAACAAGTGCTTTACCAGGCAATTCCCAAGGTTCGAACTCGCAGATGTCTTTTAATTGGGTTATGACTCGAACCGAGGAATCACCAACTTGGACAATCGAATCACTGTCGTGTTCTATTTTGTCCCATAGAAGTTCCATGGCTTCTTCATCTGTTGGATGGAATCTGAATCCCTTCACGTAGTTCATTGCATCCAGATTTCCGAAATAGCCACCTAGAAGAAGAAACAGGAGAAACAAAATTGAGAGCCAGAATTTGATATTTGATGGAAATACACTGCTGCCCACTGCATGAAGAGGAGGGACAGCAGGATTAAATAGAACAGTCTTGCTAGCAATAGCAGAAGTACAGTCGAAGAGCTAACCAGTAAGATACTAAGAATACTACTTTACCTTCAAGTATACTTGTGGAAAAAGATTGCATCTTGACCCCACTAGACCGTGTCTGATTTCCAATTTCCAATCCTTAACCTGTTTAAAGTTAAAAAGAGAGCTCAGCGAAAGTGATATTTCAAGCTTAGAAATCTGCTGTACTATTAATTATGTGGCAAATTCTTTATGCATGCATGACATATTCAAGGAATAAGCATATGACCATAAGGAACAAAAGGACTAATAGTAAAGAGTATTTGAGACATTTATCATTAAACAGTTAATCTTTGGACTCATACTCTGGTATTTGATTTACTTGGGATTTCTTTAGGAAATTGCTTGTCATGTTCTAGCCAACACCACCATCCCTGCCATCTCGATTCTTCTTTTTTCACTGTTTTCAATCAGTCACCCTCTGGCCTTTCTTCATGTAAGTTATGTTCCCCACTATCTATTACGAAATTATACTACATCAAACCTTTGGAAATGAGTTTCATTTCGATTCTAGAATCTTCGTTAGGATCATGATTAGAATGTAGGAAACCAAACCTTTGAAACTATTTTTATTTGGAGGTCTAGAATGTTCCATGACAAGCATCCTTTTGTTAATAAGCATAAGGGCAAGATCGTGACTTCATGCTATGGTTGTAGTAAGAGAAGGGCATTTTAGCTGAGGTTCTAACTCTTAATCCCTCTCATAACTTTTGAATTTTAACAAAGTGAATAGTGATATCAATGTATTTTCCAGCCATTTCGAGTTCTGTTTAGTTTGATTCTTATTTCACTTGCATCAGTTATTAAATTTGAAATTAAGCTTGACCTACGTGTCTCTAAGAACGAAAGAAACAAGGGATAAAGAGTCCAGGGAATGCACAGTCTCGGAGAATCTGTAAACATGAGGGTGAAGTTCTGGCGTTGTGCGTAAGATGAATGATAAACTAAAGACCATTGCATCCAAATGCTAACTGGAATGCTTTGATGTTCGAAAATACAACAACTAGTGAGGTGACCTACCTGCATTCAATCTTCAGATATTACAGAGTTATGAATTATTGATTATTGAGTTGAATTCCTGTAACAGATAAAATTCATTTTCACTCTTACTGTGCGTGGTACGGTTGAAAAGTAAAAGGATAGAAAAGAATGGATGGAAAAGTAAAAGATAAATGAATTTTGAGTGTGTTTGGTAGGAAAAAAAAAGAAAAAGGATTGTCACTTTTCACATTCATTAACAAAAACAAATTACTCCAAATTAAAAATAAAAGAAAGAGAAAAAATAAGAGAGGTGTGAACATGTATTATATATTTACCAAATTATCAATTATATTTAGAATTTTTTTTCATCTTAATGAACAAAAGATTATAATAGTAAAATCATGTAATTTTTCCTTTCTTTTATTTTATTTTTCAACTCTACCATACAATAAATGAAAAGAAAGTTACATTTTCTTCAATTTTTTTTTTATAATTTTTCCAACCAAACGCACCAACAAAAAAAAAAAATGATATCCATCTTTCCACTTTTCTTCTCTTCCAATTTTCATCTTTTTATATTTCTTTTCAACTAACCAAACAAAACCTTAATTCTAAAATACAAGAAGAAAAGTGGCATGAATAAGAAAATAGTATTTCTCAAAAAGCTTCAACCATCAAGTTCGGACGCAAGAACCAAATCTTCACACAGCTTCGAGAGTGAAGTCACCAGGAAAAAGAGTCAAGTTATAGCAACAGCCAAGAAAACCCGCAGCCACATCATGAACTTATTTATTTCTAGTTTGAAAACACGCGTGACAAATTTTGAGACTGAAATCTGCTATCCTTGCATTAATTTTACGGGCAGGGTACAGGAAAAATACAAAGATACCAACTAAGAGCAGCAAATACAAATTATGAAGATATTATATATAGCTTCACCATTAAGAGTTAAGACGTCTCGACTCAAAGTACTGGTTCATGAAGAAGGTAGGCTTATCAGCTACATGTGAAATGGATTTGCCTAAGTGACACAGGCTTTATTTGAGGGAATCAGATAGGGACTTGTCATGATAAAATTATAGACATTGGGTGGCATAACAGCTTAGGGCTATTTTTTTCTTTCTTTATCAACTCCTAGGACCAATTGCTATGGAAATCAATTCATAAATGACTGGTATAAACCATACCATGCCTACAAGAGCATTGACAAAATATATTGACGATTGACTAGATTTATGGTTTAATGAAGGTTTATCTACTCATATGGAGAAACCTTTTTTTATCACTGTCAGCTGACTCATTCAAATGCATCTGCTAGCTCTTATTTCCATTGTTTTTTTCTGCTGTTTTCCACTTTCTGTTAGATTCCGTAACAGCATTTTCCTTTTGAGGCGGATTGACAGCGGTGGCATGTTGTTTTACATCTATAGCCTGTGAAAGGAGTCAAGCTGGTTTGTTAAAAGCAAATGACATAAACCTGAGCAATTTCATTATGAGAACATCTTTCCTTTATGTAGGTGAATTGTCAGGGTTCCAATTGATGCAGGTTGATTCCCTTACCCTGTCTTGGGAGACTATTTTTCCATAAAACTTTCCCTTCTTAGTGATGCTTTTTGGATCATCTTCTTGCTCAATTAAATTTTGAGATTTATCTTTTTGATAGTGAGGATTGTGGAATATTGTGGCAAAAGAATAATCTAGACTTTCTGCTAATGCAACACGAACAAGAAAATGCAGATCAACAGCTGAATCAACAGAAGGGCCGTCCATTTCCCCGGATTCATTAGGGGCAGATAACATCCTTTCCCTCCCATAGGGATCATGCTCTACAACAGTTAAAAGTCACATTTGTTGCATTAACCATTGTCATTGCTTGGAATTTCTTTGAACCAGCACGTTCATCAAGCATGCTTAGAGCACTTACTACCTGCTGATACTGTTGCAATGGATGAAGAAACAGACAATTAATTAAACATCCTAAAAGAGAAAGTACAAAGCAATTTAGTGCTTCTGAAAGGTTAAAGGGGGCCAAGACTGCAGCAAAGCATGACCATTTGCTGCAAAGCATTTTCCAGGACCCTAGTGAAATTAATGAAACCTATATTGGAGCTAAAAAACATAGGTTAATCCACAAAATAATATATGATAGGAGAATTATAAGAATTTGGGATGTAAATCATTCTCACTAACACCAAGTTTCTATGTAAAAGGAAAAAAAGATACAAGCAAAAGAGAATTGATTCTCTTTCATTCCGTTTCTTTCCATCCCTTCATTATTTTTTCCACCAAAAATAGTGTGAGATTGTACTACTCCCTTTCGTATTCATTTTTTGGAACCAGCTTAACATTTCATTTGTGAAATAGGCATGCTATTTCATCCTTAGGCTGGGCAACCAAAAAATTTTTTTTCCATAGAACAATATCACCAAACCAACATAACAAGAAGATGGACTACCCATCTTGCTTGCGTAGTATAATATTCTAATGGTGTTACTTTTCAACTTATCATAATACTCTTAAGGTCATATTTGATGCATAATATTATTGGTACCATAGATGATAATCATTTTATATTATATTTAGTGTGTACTTAAAGAAAGAGATAGGATTATAAAAATGATTAATCATCATCTTAATATAACATGATTCAATCCTCTCAAAATGAATAAAAATATTTTTAATCCATAGGATTCAACTTATATATCCTATTATATCCTTAAAAATTATATCAATAATTTAAATTGTATAAACTTTGAAAAAAGATAATTTTGAATAATAAATAAATTATTTTATTCTAATAATTGCATACATCAAACACAAGATAACATAACACTATTTAATCTAATGCTAATCATAATATTGTTTTATTCTATTTTATCATAACATTATGCACCAAATACACCCTAAGGGTACTTTTTTACCGTTGCTTGACATTCTTCACTTTCACTTTCAATGGCCCCAAACAGTACACCATCATCAAAGCGTGATCCTTTTCCAGAGGACTCTGCGGGGTAGATCATAGTCGTATCAACTAGCGGCAAATTGCAGCCCTCGTTTTCAACAACTTGTTCATTGCTCCTTTCATCAGGATAGAGTTCGTGATTGTCGACTAAATATCCAATCCAGGACTCATCATTCTGTTCGTCGGAGTTAGACAGGTGTTGAACTCCATCATTGGCATCAGGAAAGTACAAATGAGTGAACTCCTCACAAGAGGGCACCTGATCCTCATGCTTTGCAAGAGAGTTGTTCTCAGGCTCATCCCTCCCATCTGGTTCTTCCAATGTGTCAAGCATCTCATCAGGGTTAAACACGGCTGAGTTCTGAATCACAAAGAAACAAAAATAGTTATGTATATTTCTATCAGTCCAAGGAATTGACTTGAGAACTTTGTACAAGGCATCTTACTTCAGGAATCTCATCATATGCAGCCAGACTTGGCTGACAACTTTCACCACTTGAAGTGTCAGCATTTTCATCTTCTTTATTCTTCAATTTACAGAGAAAAATGCCCTTCTGCACGGGTGGAAGAGAAATTCAATTTCAGCCTTAAATTCTAAATTTCAGAAATATATATAACAAAACCTGAACAGAGCTTACACATCAAACTTACTCTTTGGATTTACCATTTTCCTCCAATCACCTCAATAACCACTGTAAATGACTTAAGAGCAGTGATCACTGATCAACTTGTTGGTTTATAACAAGTTTGCACTTCAATTGGACCACGTTACCAACCAACTAATGAAAATTACTAAAGAAATTCTAATAAGATAAGATAGACACCAGTTTTTCAAATTTGGGAACAATCAATTAGCTTATCAAGACTTACTCCTACAACAATCATGACCCTATAGAGTTAGTTTCCCCGTTAAATACCAAGAAAGTTACTAAGCAAGGAGATAAACTTTGAATTCAATATCAGTCGCCAATAACGAACAAACATAAGCAAGCTAAAGCTAAGACAGATGACAGAATTCTAAAACTAAGATAAACAAAAGAACATACTTTGTTATCAAGAACAGTAGAGGTTAAAGTATACTCGTGTATGACCCATGGCGTCCATTTTGCATTAGGGGCACGCCCCTCATAGAAAACCAAAGTTTTCTTTACAGCACTCCCTCTCTTCCCCTTTACTTTCCGAGCCTTTCCCGTTACTTTCCAGAACCCTTTATCCGTTGTCCTCTTGACCCGTTTGTTGTCTCGTCGTCGGGAAAAGAAATACCACAATTGATCAGTTGAGTTTATTTTAGAAAAACCTTCAAAAATATAACCCAGGCTTAATAAATACAGTAGTATTTTTAAAGTCACAAACTGGTATATATGTAAAAAAAATAAAGCTAGAATTCTTACCGGGTAGTTCCCAGGGATCTTTGTTGAGAAGACCATCGACCTCTTTTACAGCTTGGACGAGAGAATCACGGTCGAGAATTTTGTTCCATAGATAATGATCTACCAGTTCTTTGTCAGTTGGGTGGAATCTGTTCCCCACTATGTCGCTGTTGCTATTGATGCTTGTCATCTTATCAGATAACGAGAACAAACGAAAGAAATTAGATGAGTTCAAGAGACAAACGGGACGATGATCGAAAGAAACGAGAAAGAAAAGTGAAGCTGGTTCAGATGTCTTCATCTGAAAAGAGAGACATCCCCTGAATATGATCACAAACAACAAACACAATAGTAAGTTACTGTAACTCCCTTACTCAAGAAGTTTGAGGAAAGGAAAAAGACAAAGATTTAGTGGGTCCCGCATGCCTTGTTCCACACGAATATCCAAAGAGCTTATTGGTGGGACGCTGCTGGCACCAGCCAGGCTGGTACCTTTGATCATCAGATTCGCAGCTTGGAGGAATTGGGATTCACAACGATTAACGTCCCAAGGCTTTGGTGCATGCAGTCTAATTCATGGAAAAACCCATCGAGTTATTACTATATCTATTCCAAGAATAGAATCTAGTGATATTAAGTTATTAAAGTGATTAAAAAAACATTTTTGGTAAAAAATGATTAATTTAAATTTTAAGTTGTTTAATTTATTAAAATAAAAAATCAAAATAAATATATTAAAAAATTATTTTACAGAAATTAATCGTGTAAAATTTAATAAATTTTGATTTATTTTTAAATAGATATTTTTAACAAAAATATTAATAAAATTTATATTATTAAAAAAATATTGATCAAATTTTAATTATAAATAATATTTTAATAATAATATTTTACATATTTTTATATTTAAATTTATCAATTTATTAATTTAATTTTTTTAATTTTACAAATTACAGTAAAAAAAAAATCTCTATGTAAATTTTGTCATGAGCTATGATTTCAAGTGAATGGGCCCCCAAGAAACTGTGTTTACAGTTTTTCCAATTTCAGGACTTAGGAGGTTGGTGCGGTGCCATAGGCTTAGATCATGGCTCCAACGTGGCAAACCCTTTGTGCATCCATGGGAGATTTTTGAGTTGTTGATCAGTGAAAAGGATCGATTGAAGTTTGAATTTCGTTATACGCTTAGATTTAGTTCTGTCCCCATCTCTCTCTTCTCATTTCTCTGTCACTATCATCAACCAATGAATTTCCCTGCCTTTGCTTTGCTGATCCTTTACGCCTCCCTTCAAAGCCAGAGAATGAAAGAAATATTAGCATTAGAAATTCTATAATCTTTCATGCCACGCTGTTTAAATTCTTCCATTAATTGAAATCATGGCATGCAAGTTCTTTAATATGTTCTCAGAGAAATGGTTTTTGGTGGCGTTTTATTCTCTTTGATAAATTATTTAGAATTTCGAGTCCCCATTCATCCGTTAATTACTTTAGGCTTTAGTATATGTTTAGATAAAATATCATAAGGTCTAAAACGTGGGAGAGAATTTCATCCATGGTAGAAGAGGAACATGAAGAAACTCATCATCCGTATATTAATGGCAATTGTAGGCGATTCATGGATGCATTACAAATGCCCTATGTAGAGCAGCATTGTAAACTACTAAGGATACATAAAAGATTTGCTCTATATTGACATAAGAATATCAACAACTCCATTATTACAGTAGGTAGGTCGAGTCAGTATGCACATTGATTAATTGGAATAGGTATATGACATCCTAGTTCCTCTTTAAATTCAATGCAAAAGTGAATACTACTACAAAGCAAAGTATGCCTAGAACCGGTACACTACCGATAGGTATCATCATCGTCGACGAAAATATATTTCCAAAAATCTTCATCTTGTTCATTGGTGCTAGATTGAAGTGGGATCTCACCATGTTGTTCATTGGTGTTAGATTGATGTTGAATCTCATCATCTTGTTCATTGGTGCTAGATTGACGTTGAATCTCATGAAAGTCACGATTAGAACCACACAAGAATGAGAAATCATTACAAGAAGGCACATGCTTCTCGTGCATCTGAGATTGTAGTGTAGAAGAAAGGAGGTGTAACTTATCATCCTGTTCATTGGTGCTAGATTGATTGTGAACCCCATAAAAATCCTCACTAGGGTTGTACAAAAATGAGTCAGCATTACAAAAAGGCACCTGCTCACCATACATTTGTAGTTTCTGTGCAGAAGCAACCTCATCTTCAACCTCATTAGAGCCATTTGTCTCTCCTAATTGTGCCAGTAGCTCATCAACATTAATAGCCAATGAATTCTGATTTACAGAAAAACATAGTTCAAGATACTTTTTACCATTTCTATAGGCATCACATGTATTAAAAGTTTCATTAGAAGGTGTCTTACATCAAAAATTTTGTCATCTGCAACATTAGTTGGCTGACCTTCTTCACCACTAATGCCAGCCTTTTCATCATTTTTTCTCTTCAATTTACAGAGAAAAAAACCCTTCTGTACAAAGAGACGACAAAACAGTATAGTATTAAAGTCTAAACTAGAGATCACATACTTTAAATGACTTGCAGCAGTAATCAACACTCCTAATTAAGATTATACCAAAGTATGCAATTCATAATAAAAGAAACAAAGCAACAAATTGAGCTGTGCCATGAAATTTAAGAAATTGAAATAGAACTCGTAGAGGAGAATACATATCTAATTTGGGAACTAGCAGTAATTCTTCAAAATTAAATTCTCTAGAGTTGCTTTACCAAAGCAAAGTTCAACAGTGAGAAAGACTGAAAGACACTTTGTTACTTTCTCAAACAAATTTCAAAATACAGAAGAGAAGAAGAACAAAATTCAGGATTCACATAAATTGAATTTGGTATCAGTCCTACAAATGAATAAGTACAAGCAAAGATAAATCTTTGAGCTGCTAACACATAAACATCGATGCGACCAAAGAGAAATTGAAATAAATGTAAATGTACTAAACATAATTCAGAGTTAGGATACAAGAACATACTTGATTAGGAAGTGTATCAGGTAAAGTGTACTCATGTATGACCCAAGGTGTCCATTTTACCTTAGGACCCTCATAGAAAACCAAAGTCTTCTTGGTGCCAATTCCCACGTTGGCCTTTATACTCCTATGTTTGCCCGTCAATTTCCAGTACCCAAACTTGGTTTTCCTCTTGACCCGTTTACTATGGTTTCTTCGAGAAAACAGAAACCATGTTTGATCATTAGATTTTCTTGCTGAAAACCCTGTAAAGCAAAACCAAAGTCAACGATACAGAAACAGCATGACTACAAATTTTATACCTAAAAAAAAAACCATCAACTCGATACTTACTGGTTAATTCTTCAGGTTTCCAGTCGCATAGGTCGCCAGGGACTTCACCAATAGCTTGGACAGCAGAATCACGATCGAGAGCTTTATTCCATAGATAATGATCGATGAGTTCTTTATCTGTAGGATGGAATCTGTATCCCACTATGTCGTTGCAGCTACAACAGTTCATCTCATCAGAAATTGAGGAGAAACCAAAAGGGCAACTCAACAAGAAGACGATGGAAGAAACAAAACCAAAGCCAACACTAATTCCTGCTATGAAATTGCATGTTTTTCCTCTGAAGGAACAAGGAAGGGTGCTCCCCTGAAATCTAAGTCGAGAGAAAAAGAAACTTTATAGAGAGCAAAACTCCCCTTCCTCGAGAAGTTGTGGAAAAAGATTTTATTTATGTGGGTCCCAAAACTGTCTTAGTTTTACTAGTTTTCACATTAGATTACCAATGTTGTCAAGTTCAGTTTAGTCTGGTAAAACCCAAGCCACTGTTCTTATTCTGGTATCTTTACAAGGGTTATTTTTTCTTTTGACTAATACTTCAGTTTTTCCATTTCACTGTTATGAACTTGCCCCCTAAGGTTTGGCCAACATCATCTTCATTCTTCGCCATTCTTTTTGGCATTGCCATCCCATTCAGATTCTTACAATTTTCATTTGTTGGTTTGTTGCGTTACCCACTTGTCTACTCCCACCAAAAAAAGATAAATATTCCACTAGTAAAACAAAGCTGTTTGACAAAAGAAAAGATGCCCTAAATGTATGTGACTGTGAGCATATAGAAAATAATATCATAAAATTGAAATTAGAATGAATTAGCAGGGGAAAAATAATTAAAATGGGTGATATGTTATATTTTAACAGCTAAATGTTCGTACGCTTTTATATTCAGATTTAGATATGCACAATTCCCCATCATCAACTGCATCATTTCCGTTTTAGCTTGGAAGTTTGAACCGTTTCAGCTTTTGGGGTATCATCTATCCTAAAGCTAGAACACTATAATACACGGCTATCGAAATTAAAACAGGGTTCTGAAAATATTTAGATTTTTCAGACAAACTACAAATAACATAAGTTCACTGTAAATGGTAACACTTTATCTTTATAGCTTATTCCAATTTCCATCTCAAAAGAGACACAAGCCAAGCGATCTAGACCTTGCATGAACTTGCGGCTCTCTTATGTCTTACTACAATGGAATGCCTGAAACACACACGACTTTACCTAACGAAGAAACATAACTTCCCTAACCACAACTATGAACAAAATCACGCCCAAAAGTACATTCCCAACATGTACTAAAGGTGGATTCGGTTTGGAGCTCAGCTGGGACATCACCAGGTAATTGAAAGATCTTTTTCTAACGCTGTCAGCTGACCCTTTAGATGTTGAGTTCAAATCCAATTTTGCATTCCTGTCCCGATCCATTTTAAGGCCTTTGTTAGATTGCACAATGGATTTCTTGTTCTGGACAAGTTCAACAACAGGACAACGTACACTACTTTCTCTTGTCTGCAAAAGGAAATCATGTGGAGCAAAAAACAGTTAATACTAAAGAAAGCATTATTGATTTCAGTTCACCTTTGAAGCAGTGTTTGATTAACTTACCATGTCTCTGGATACTGCTCTCCCTGAAGATTTAACCTGCAATTCGACGCTTGTAGGATGCCTCTGCACCACTGACATGTGGGATCTTGGCTCATATTGAGATTTGCAGGTTCTTGAGTTAACAGACTGTTCCTCCCGGACCGATTCATGACAATCGTTCTCGTAGGCCGTAACTGTTGCTGAGTCAACAGTGGAATCCATTATCAGGATCTCATCATGACGGACACCATTTTCCATTCGCTGCTGATTGAATCCTTTTGAATGGCCTTGGCCAGACATACGAACAATTGGATCACACTGTTATATAAGATACAGAGGATGTATGTCAAATTTTCTAGTATCCCAGACATGAAACTTTAAAGAGATGCAAGAAAATCTAAAATAATTACATTGCCAGGACCGTAGCAAAGCAACATTGTATGACCTCTTCAAGACATCCACACAACTAAAGACTTTCAATTTGCTAGAGATCATAAAGACGCTATAGGAGAACATCAAAGTTAGAAACTAGCTAGACACTGAAATAATGTGTGACAGTGTCAGACATTATTGCAGTAATTGTTCTCCTATGGTACTGGCAGTTTATACTCACAGTTGGAGAAATATTCTCCAACGGTAACTACTCGAGAATATCTCTTTACCCATGCATTGGCCCATTTAGGGTCAGTGTCACGGCTATCCTCAGCATAATATGGTGCCCTGTAATCACGGCGAAGAGGGTGCCCAACCTCTGCATAGGAGTGTTGATGATCTTGGCCAGGAAACAGGGAAGTCATGAAATTCCTTTCTTCTTCGATGGTGGTGTCAAATTGATGTTGCCATTCATTCTGCTCATCGTCAACCAAGTCATCATACGGTGGTAGATCTTCCAAGGAGATTCCTTCCATCCTGTTCTGGTCATTATTGGTAACGGCACTGTCGAATAAGTCATTCAATTGTGAGAGTCTATAATCAAGATCATAATCAAAGATATCCTGATCTTCCATTTGTGTCTGCCAAGCTATTTCGTAATCCATATTATTGATCTGTAGTTGAGGAACCACCTGAGTGAGAATCATTAGTAACAAAGCATTAATTTCTGTAATGCTGGCTCACACACGTATGAGATAAAAGGTTATCAGCAAAAAAGCTGCCTATAAGTCATGTTCCTTCTCACCTCCATAGACTTAACCCTCACTGCATTATTTCGGGAACTAGAAGCAGCAAAATGGGTACTTGGCTGACCATCATTTGAAATTGAGTTTTCACTATTCTCGGCAGCTTTGTTCCTTAAGCAGCCGACTGCATAACTACTGTCCTATGGAAGTTGAAGGACAAAAGAAAAAAAAGACATCAAAAGTTAGAATGCTCTGCTATCAATTGTGAACAGATAAGAGTAAAAAGTTAACAACTAAAAATTGCAGAATGGAGTTAATTTATAGCGTACTAAATTCCATGTTCAACAAAAAGAAAGCTTGTTGTTTGAAGTATGGATGTGTCGAGTGCACGAATATTACCGCATTACGGGGAACGAAGTCAGCAGTGGCACGGTACTCATGCATGATCCAGTCGGTTTTGACCCCACGAGGAGTACGGCCTTTATAGAAAACCAAAGACTTCTTGGTACCAATCACCCTACCTCCATAACGGATCACCCTATCCTGACCCGTTGATTTCCAATATCCAGCCTCCGTTGCCCTATCGTTTCTTCCCTCGGATATCTTGTTTAGTTTATAGAAGAAAAGCCACTCTGCATATCTCGACTTTATTATAGACAGGGCTATCCTCGCAAAAAAAAAAAAAAAACCCAATTTTCAAGATAACAAACTTAACAGCATATAAACAATAAAATGGAAAATCATTTAGAAATGAGATGAAATTAGTTCACCAGCTAACTCCCAGGGCTCTTGCTTGACGAGTTCAACCTCTCTGATATGGCGGGTGCGATCATGATAGCCTTTCAGCTTATTCAAAAGAAAATAATTGATGATTTCTTCATCTGGCGGAAGGAATCTGAACCCGATATCCAGAGAGATGTTCATTTTCTCGCAACCCACCTTATTATTACTACTACTCTAGTAAACAAAAAAGGGGAAAAAAAAACAGAGCGAGTGAAGTTTTTGCTTGTTCTACAATTAGCTGAAGAAGAGATATGTCTTCAAGCGTAGAAGAAATTCAAGTATCATCTGCAAGCATTGACGCGCAAACTCTTTTGGTCTTCGGCTCAGCTTAGTCGGTAAGCGACGTGGGGCTGGTCGAATTGCGAGTTTGGACAGTGATTGAATTAGACATGTGATGACATTAACAGATATTTTGGTGGTGGCACTCACCGTACAATTCATATTTACATATACACATATATATATATATATATATAAAATTCTTACAAAACAATATATATATATATATATATAATTGTTAGAGACATTTAATGATTAAAAATGTATAATGATCTTGTTTTATATTAAAAGCATTCATTAGACAATCACAGGTAATTTTATTATTTGTACCGATTTGATATATTAAGTTGATTTGACACGTTTAATCATATCAGCTTGGCACTATTTTATTGTCTCTTAATGATCTCACATTGCTTACGAAGGTTCAATCGCCATTCAAGCAAGTTTATACTACTCTTATTTCTTTGTATTACTCTCATTCTAATCTTATCTATTCTGACTTGCTCGTCGAAGTGCAAACACAAAAAACAACTTTTATCTTTGCCTCTAACCATCCCACTATTATGTATTTCCAAAATATGACCATGAGATTGGAACTCAACATAAGCATTTGGTGCACCATGTAGGGAAACCTTTTCATTCACTAGCCGAATACGAAACAATGCCACCAAAGAAAAAAACTTTAGAGGAAGGAAATATGACCATCCCGGCTGCAACAGAAACACATAATATCTAGTGCTAAAAACGACCTCTTCAACCACTGATAAGCTTGACTATGGAATAATTTCAGGCTTTAACCAAGCAGATACAAGCCCTTAAACAGATGTTGTAAACTATAATCCCACCACAAACTCTAAAAGTGCCTGACTTGATCACCCCTGACCAAGGAGCCGCAGTAAGACATCCAAGCTATGAGAGCTGGAAGCCTGCTCGGCCTTCAGAGAAAATAAGCATAACACTCCAATTCGCCATTACCTTAGTCATAATTCGACATATGCCACAACCCAAAAATCCAAACAGATAAACTTTAGAACGCAACCAAACAAAGACTTAGAAGCTTGGATGCAAGCATGGAGAAAAAGCTAAAAATAAAAGTAGTGGCATGTGAGCATGAGCTTAAGTTCCTAGAGACCTCACCCTTCATTGAAAAAATCGATAGAGCCATGTCTTTCAAAGGGTTCAAAATGCTGACCTTAGAGATTTACGATGGTATTTCTAGCCTTTTTGATCATTTGAAACATTATAGGACTAACATGATGATACAAGTTGAAGACGAAGCCCTGATGTGCAAAAACATGGCTACCATTATGAAAGGTGCAGCTTGGTTCTAGTACAATAACCTGGTATCAAGGCCAATCACAACGTTCAAAAAGCTTAACCACTTTTTTCTGTCTAAAATTATGAGTAGTCAAAGAGTAAAGAAGATAGCTCTAAGTTTGATGTCAATCCACTACGGTCGTAATGAATCTTTAAAAAGCTATGCCAAGCATTTTAATGTGAAAGTTCTGCAAGTTAAAAACTTTAAACAAACGGCCGTTGTAGCCATCCTAACTAGTGGATTCAACGACAAAGAGTACCACCTAAAGTTAACCTCATCGTTAGAGCCAACCAAAACTCTGCCCAATGTCCTACTGATAGTTGAGAAATATATAAATGCCAAAAGCTATAATAAAAAACAATTGAGGTGAAAAAGGCTTATCTTTCCTTTCTGACGATCGAGGTAAGATAGACTTATCTCCCTTCTTCGCTTGTAAGAAAGGTAAAGATCTCTATGATCTTCTTCCAAGAAGGAGACAGTATAGATTTAGAAACACTAGTGAAGAAAGGAACTACACTGCACTGAACACTTTTTGAAAGAATATTTTGATGTAAATTGAAAAAATTTCTAACCTCAGATGGTCAAAATCACTAAAACAAAAACATAAAAAGAGACCTAACCAAAAGAGGTGTCTTTCATAGAGACGTAGGCCATAATATTGAAAATTACGTCAACTTGAAAAATGATATCGAAGCCCTGATAAAGAGAGGTCAGTTGAAAAGGTTTGTAAAGTAGCGAAGACAGGGCTAACCCAAAATAAACTATAGATAAGACCAAAGAAACCCACCCGAGACAAAGAGAAAGTGCCAAAAAATGGAAGAAGGGAAGCTTAAGGAGATAAGCTGATTTAAGAAGAGGTTCAAACTATAACAATAGGCTGATCATTGAGGTGATTAATGTGATCACTAGAGGCAGCTCCACCTTAACCAAAAAGAAATTCAATCCAAGCATGGTCATGGAAGTAGGCACCTTGTCAAAGAGAGAAAAAGATTTGAGAGATGAGCCAATCTCATTTAGCTTGAAAGATCTTAAAAAAATCCAGTATAACGATGCTATAGTGATCACGAATGTGGTGTACAACTACATAGTCAAGAGAATCCTATTTGATAATGAGAGCTCGACCAACATCATGTACTACGATACCATGAAAAAAATGGGAATAAGTGAAAATAAGCTACAACCGATCACTAAGGACTAATAAGATTTAGGAATGAACAGGTATCGATGAAAGGAACAATCAAGCTATCGATCTTTTTAGGAATAAAATCGAAGATTATTACCTCAGTTATAGAATTTATAGTTGTTGATGTCCCATCAGCTTACAACATGATATTAAACTGACCTCATTATCATAACATATAGATCTATAAATCTATAGCTAGACTTAACAAATGAATAGAGTCACAACCAATCTTTTTTTAATTAGGTGTGATTGGCCACCTAATGAATCTATCCCTTTAAAGAGCTCTTAAGCTTGACAAAAAGTTCCTAAAAGAATAGGTTCGGGTCTACTAACCAGAATAGGATTCAAGAATTCGGTTACATGTGAAAAATGTTATAGCACCCCCACATGCCTATCTGAACGATGGTACCATTTTATTTTAAATTTACCTAGGGTTTTGATTATAATGGTTTTAAGTTTTTATGTTAGATATTAGAAATAGCTTTTAAGATTCTTCCATCAATCTAATAAAATTCTTAAAAATATTTTTTCACTTCAAGAGTATTCAAGAATTTCATTTGATATCTTGAAGAAGCTCCGTCGTCGTAAAAAGTTTATTTATTTATTTTTGTTGAAAATATATCTAATTATTCCATAATTTGGGACAAATTAAAAATATTTTATTTTTTTTGAAACTTTTAAAATTTTCACCATTTGGGCCCATTTAAAAAATTTTTTTAAAATTTTTTTTGGATTTCTAAATTTTTTACCATTTAGGTCTAATTAGAAATTTTTTTGCTTTTTTTATTTTCGAAAATAAAATAATATGATAATTATTTTTTATTGAAAATTTATTTAAATTCTTCAACCATTTGGGATAAATTTAAAGAAATTTTTTACCTAAAGATTTATTAAAAAATTTATCATTTGAAATTTTTAAGAATCTCATTCTTGGATAATTGTCAAATATTTTCAACCAAAAAAAATTTATTTTTTGTTTTTCTATTTTTTTCTCTTGTTTTATTGAAAATAAATTTAATTATTATTATTAAAACTTTATCTAAATTATTTCACAATTTGGAACAAATTTAGATAAAATTTCTCACCTAAAAATTTTATAAAAATTTACAATTTAAAATTTTTAAAAATTCTATCATTGGATAATTATTATTTATTCTCAAAAAATATTTTCTTATTTTGTATTTTTTTTCTCTTCCTTTTTTATTGAAAATAAATATTAATTATTGTTATTGAAACTTTATCTAAATTATTTCATAATTTGGGATAAATTTAGATAAAATGTCTCACTTAAAAATTTTATAGAAATTTATCATTTGAAAATTTTGAAAATTTCATTATTAGATAATTATTAGTTATTCTCAAAAAATATTTTTTTATTTTATTTTTTTAAATTTAATCATGCAAAAATACTAAAAACAAACATATAAATAAATAAAATACCAAAAAAATGAAACAACTCGACTTAGTAACTGAAATTTAGCTCGGCTCGAGACAAAAACAATGACTTAAAAGTGTTGCTCAGGGGTGCGACTCGGCTCGGCTCAGCTGGAATGGATTGGCTGAAATGCGGGTCGACGGAATGGGTTGTAATCAGGTCAGGTTGGTCCGAATAGAAACGCGCAGATCATGGATTTTTTTTAAGGTGAAAATGGTGTCATTTTGGGGCTTGTATAAAAGGCCAAAATTCGATATTTTCTTCAGATTTCTTTTCTCTTTTCTTTCTTTTCCTTCTTTTTCCTCTCTATTTCTCTATACAAACCCAGAATTTCGGTTGAAGCTTCATCGAAAACTAGGATAAACACACCAAAAACTGGAAAATGTCATCGAAAAATTTAAGTTTTGCAAAAAAATTCACCAAAATCTAGAATTTTTTCAAAAATTTTTCAAAAAAAAAAACTGCCAAAATTTCAAAAAAAATTCCTAAAAATTCTAGATTGTCGTAGCTCTTCTAAACATTTTTCCCTGCTTCTGCTTTTTATTTTTTTTTGTGTGATCACCTTGATTTTTGTACTCTATCTTTTGTGTGTTTTTTGCCTAATCTATTACTATGTATTTTCTCTGTCTATCTGATCTTTCTCTCTATGTGATCTGTGTGATCAATGTACATATTTATAAAGCCAAAAATCAAAAGAGTTTCAGTTTGATCATGAGTCCATAATTGACAGGATTTCAATATTATCACCCAACATGGATTTATCCTATTTGCAAATTAAATCAGTCTATAACTCTTCCACTAGCAGGAATTATTTTTTTTATTTTTTTATTTTTTCTTCATTATCTTAACCCCTGAATACCTAAAAATAAATCAACTAAAATGAAAAGAAAAAAAACACACAAATAAGCATCAAAATAAAATTAAAAAAACCATAAAATAAAATAAAATCTAAAAAAATTAAAAATAAGCAATTGAGCTCTAACCATTTGGACCCAATTAATCCGGGCTTGATAGGTTTAGGCTCGGACCCTATTGAACCAGGCCCAATGGGCTTGAGTTCGGACTAATTAAGATGT